AAAACTTGCCTCCATTCCCAACCTAATTTTATGTCACTAATGGGAAATTTACCTACAATTGCCTTTTTTTATTTGGTCTAAAAGCATTACATGAAGAGTGGATTGGTCCTCTGTATTTTAGTGAACAGATTTGTCTAGATATAAACAATTTTATTTATATTATGCTCAATTCAGTCATGTTAACATTTGTATGAATTTCAACCCCAAAATAAAGGCCCATAATTTGGGACTCAAAGACCTTGAAATTACATCTTTAATAATCCTCAGCACCAGGCATTTTGTAAATGTTCACAGATGATAAATTCTTTGGAAATAGGAAAGATGATGTGGAAAACAATGTTTATGTCTGAAATGGCACTGTTGAGGGAGAAGATTTTTTTCCAGAGAAGCTGTCTCTTCAGGCCCTGTCACCTGTTCGCTCATTGGTCTCATATGTTCCTTTGTTTAACATTAAATGTCAAGACCCTGCCCCATGTGTGACTGTGTGATTGGGCACTGGCACACGGGCAGAGCTGAGTAGAAAGGATATTGGTCCAGTAGTTAGAAAACTTGTCAGCTGAAGCCCTGGGGCCTGGTTCTGGCTGTCACCTACAGATGTCCTTGAAAACTCACTCTTCTCTGATCTTCACCTCACTTTCAGGTGTAATACTGAACCCCTGCTCTCCTTGTGAAGATGAACTAATAGCTTGGAAAAAAACGCTTTGTAAACTGTAAAGTAACATAAAGGGATATTGTGATAAATTAAGCTCCTTCTAAGATACACAAACTAACCAAGAGTATTTACTGTGCAGCTGTATAGAGAAAGGAATTACTTCAGGCTGGGTTGATCAGAGTTGGAATTATTCTTGGTGCAGAATTTGAAGAATGTGTACGATTTTTAGAAGTGAATGCATGGGATCAGTACTCCAGACAGAGTGAGAGTGTGATATATATTCAGAGAAGAATTGGGAATTGCCATTTATTGAGCATGTACTGTGTGCCTGGCTGGGCTTGAGTGTGTGTGTGTGTGTGTGTGTATGTGATCATCATTAGTTTTCCTCATATTTTGGATTGGGGCTATAAAACCTACTCATGGAGTGTAAGCATTAGAAATAATTCTGTATACTTATAGTTATGCTGTTTTTATTGAGATTTCTCCAGCACTGCGAGTCAGATATTCCCAGTGGGAACATAACCTCTCTTCCTTCTTTGTTCGCCTTCACTGTACTGAAGCATTTCTTGGGGTCCGTATCCCTCCTTAGAGGGAGCCAGGAAGAGGCTGTTATAGTTGTTAGATATACCTATCTGGATTATTTCAGCTCTTTTTTTTCTCCCCTCAGAATGCTTCCCTTTTTTAATCCACCTGAATTCCAGTACAGGTTAATCATCCTAAAGCTTTGATGGTGTTACATCTACACCCAATAACTTTCAAAGATCTATTTTCCCCTAACTTTTACTGAGCACTTATTGTGTGCCATCCCACTGCTACATTCTGATTCTCATTTTAAGCCTCGTGGCAACCCTAAAGAGTAGGCACTGTTATTATTCCCATCTTACAGGTAATGGAAACCAAGCCTTAGAGAGACCAACTAAATAACTTGCCCCAAATTTTGCAGCTGACAAGCAGAGGAGGCTGGGCATGGACTCACCTCTGACTCCAGGCCTTGCTCCTGACCTCTGACCCATATGGTGCATTACTGAGTTGGGCATCTGAGGCCTTCCAGACTTGGAACCAAGATCTTTTCCAGTCTTTGCTTCTGAAGTGCCTCACACTTGAACCAGTATGACTTACAGGCTACTAAGAAGAGCGAGTGATTGATGTACAGTCTTCCTTTGTGATTTAAAATAATGAGGGCCTTTTATAGGCACTTGACTAAATTAAAGATTAAATGATATTGAAGTCATCCTTGAGTAAATATTTTTGAAATAAATTGACTGTATCTTTCTTTTAGGGAGCATTAAAAGATGTCTAAATAATTACTGTAAATGATTAATTGTTGGGATTAATGATATCCAGGCTCTGCACTAAGGGCTCTGCATTCAATCTGCACAATATTCCTATGAGGTCAGTACTTTTATTGTTCCATTTTACACATGAGAGGACTGAGGCATAGAGAAATTCAGTAACTTGCTACAGTTACATGGTTAGTAGGTGGAGGAGGCAGGATATGAACAGAGGCAATTTGACTTGGAAGCCGGAATTCTTTGTCACTATGGTCTACTGCTTCCCATTTTGATTTCCTCAATTAACACTTGACACCAGCCCAAGAAATATTTTTGTCTATTTTATATCAGGGAAGGAGGACTGTATTTCCAAAGAGGGTTATTAATACTTTAGACAGAGACCTTATTTGGAGGAAGGGCTTATTAAAAAGAGTTACTCCAAGTCCCTGCCAGGCTGGAGGAGAGCAGCCTCTGGACATCACTGTCCTACCAGATCTGGTTCCTGCAGACTCTGGTAGGTAGTTGAGCAAAGAGCATGACTTCTAGGTGCAGATTAGTCAATATGGTGCGAAAAAGAAAAAGCACACGCACTTCCCATTGCCTGAAAATAGCACGTGTCAGCAGCTCTCTTCCAAGATGTAGAAACCACCCTGTAGCAGCTGCTCTCTGTGGAGGCATTAAGTGTTGTGAAGACACCTGTATGTGTCTAATTCCAGCCCAAACAAGTCTCCTTCCAGCTCATCAAGGTGGGGAGAGAATTTATCTAAATGGAGATTACTATTTTCAATAGAGTGACTTGTCTGTCATTTCCTGTAGAGATTCTTCCCCCTCCACCTTTTTTTAAATTGAGGTATAATTTACATACAATAAAATATATGCATATTAAGTGTTCGGTTACATGGATTTTGACAATTTTCATACCCGTGCAACCACCAGCCAAAACTAGAAAATCCCCTTTATGTCCCTTTCCAGTCATGCCCCTGCTGTCTGGAGGTAGCCGCATTCTGACTTCTCATAGATGAGTCTTGCCTGTTCTTGTATTTTATATAAGTGAAATCATTCAGAGATATTCTGTTGTCTCTGGCTGCATTGTGGTATAAACTTACAGCGAAACACTCCTCAACAGTAAAAAGGAATGAACAATGACACACACAACAGCATGGATGAATTGCCTCTAGAGGTATGCGTTAAAGTTAACAGGATTCATTTGCTTCATGCTACCTTCATGTTCTTAGCAACCAAAATGACCCACAAAATTGGCTTCTTCTACTTGCCTATGATAGTGTGCAATTGCTGACTTCATTTTTTTCTCCATCTAATCTCTTAAAATAGAATATCATCTTTAGAAGATGGTCAGTTTATACTCAACTTATGGGCTATCACGATAATGATGTTTTAAGGGGATTAAAATTGTGGAGTGATTTTTTAAAAGAAGGAACTATGTTAGACATGTTACATGGTATCTTTTTAGTACTTTCACATGTCAGAAGGAGTAAAGGAAGCAATGAAGCAGACCCAGCCTCTCCTGGATGGCTGTCCAGTGGGCCCTGGATGTTCATTTTCATGACTACTACATTTTCATGACTACATGACTACTGTGTGCTGTGCACTTTTCATTGTCATGAGAGAGAATGTTAGGAAAACTATCCCCACAAGAAAACAGCTTTTCTTGGCAAGTGAAATATGACTTAAGGAGCCAGAACTGGAGACATACGGTACTATGAATGAGAGCTGTGTTACTTTACTGGATCTGAGTCCAGGCACTATTTATACTGCAGCATATTCAGCACCAGATTGTTAAATCTTAATACTGAAACAGTGCATCATTTTAATATTTTTGTTCTGTTTATTCCCTGTTTTCAAGCATTATGTCAAGCATTGCGCATTCATTGATTTCATCTTGGACAGGACGTGTGCCCTGACCAGAAAGTTCATTTCCTATTATTGAAATTTCGGCCCATAGCTATAAAGCAGCATTTTGTGAAGCTTTTAAAAGTTCACTTGTGTATACAGGTGTTCTGTCTCTTTGGTGATAAAATATATTTTTTGAAAGAACAGTGTAGTTGGACTCACCTGCACTGTCAAAAATAAAAATGCTGTTTCTCTTCTATCACTAAAACATAGCTGTTTTGGATAGGGGACAATTTTTGATATCCTGGGGACCATTGGATTTTTCACAGCATACAAATAAAATGTCTGTTACTGTGTTGTTTGTGAAATGCGCTTCTCTTTATTTTTCTTCATCTATGTTATATGCGCCCTGTGCACCAGATAAGATGGGTCCATCTTGTGAATAACTTAGAATTTTCACCACGTGTTGCTGAAGCTGTCCCATGAGTCTGCCCAAGTTTGACCAGGATTTTTATTCTCTCTCCATTGTCACGAGTGTTTACCATATGTAGCAGGAAACCCGCAGGGAAAGGGTACCACTGTCACTGTAAAAAGAACTGAGGAATTAAAAAAGAAAAAAAAAGGAAGTTGAAAGCATCTCTGCTATTTCTGATCTGTGGTCAATCATTGTGCTATGGAAAACAAGCCCTGTGCCTCGTGAAATGTGAATCTGGAAGTGAACTCTCACTGCTTCTTCAGCTCCAGATGCTATTCGCACTGGGGTTCACACCACAACCAGGATGTGACTGTGTGTGTGCTGAGCCCACACACAGGAATTTTCTTGTACAATTCAAAACCGAATCTTATATTTACTTAAGCCTTGCTTTTTTTTTTTTTTGTCTATGAAATCAGCAGTTCAGTATATTTAGCATCAGTCTTAAGTTAGACTGTGAAACAAGACTTTGGGGGAAGGAAGTAACCGTATGGTTTTCTAAGTAATTTAAGAAAGAGGAAAACATAAAAAAACTGATTGTCCATGATTAAACCTCATCCTTTCATTCTCATCTTCCTGTATAGTTAACTCAATTGTCAGCCAGAAAGAAAGAGTCTATTGCACTGGGTTGTAAAATATCTCTGAGTGGGCCTTGAATGTTGACTATTGGATGACCTTCCTAACATTGAACAAACAATGGGAGGGTTTAATAAATAGCAGATATGTGTTTATTATGTTTTTCTTCCCTGTGCAGGAATAATCAAGCTTGGGAGGTGGAACCCTCTCCCCCTCAGTTATGTGACAGATGCACCCGATGCGACAGTGGCCGACATGCTGCAAGATGTCTATCACGTTGTGACGTTGAAAATCCAATTACAAAGGTGGGTGTCTCTGAACATCTGCCCTTCCTAACTCTCAGAGCTGCTCCGTTGATCATAGAGTCGCTACAGAGATCAGCTCATCCTGTCTTTGTTAATTTCTAGACATTGGATGAAATGAAAAAAAAAAAAGAAGGGGGGGCCGTCACCAGGCATCTTTATAGTCCACATTCCAACTGTTTTATGTTTTGTTTTCAGAAGCAGTGAAGTGGTAACCTAGGGGAAGCTTGATAAATCATTAAAAATCTGCAGCCTTTAAACGGGAACTTTCCACAGCCCCTAATTTAATGAGCCCTCTGGTTAAATGCTTAGCACATAATATTTGAAGAATAAACACCTCTGCTGTTTCAGGCTTGTGTTTGAGGGGTGAGTTTGGTGCCCTTGTAGCCTGCTTACCGAGAAGCTGCTGGTACTGGACGCCTCTTGCTTTCCTCTCTGGTGGCGTGCAGAAGTTCTGGGGATGATTTCTTTTTTTCAGATACAGCATGCAGAACAAATTATGCCTCTAAAGAATCTAGAGTTTCTCTGCAGAGTCTTGTATTGTGAAGTGCCAGTAGCTCATGTGATTTAATGAATATTGTCCTTTACTGTAAAGGTTTTGAATCTACCCCTTTTGGAGAATTTACACTTTAATAGGGACCCAACCATTCCTGTCCTTGTCTAGGAATGCTTTAATGTCTTTTCTTTAGTTTTTTGTTAGCGAAGTGACATCTCTGGATTGTTCTATGAGGGTGAAGGGTAGACCTTCAAATTTGATGCAGTGTTTGTTTACATTTAACCTTAGGAATGTCCAATAATTAAGTTTAAATTGTGGAAGTTTATAATCACACTGTCATGCCATTTCTATCAGTAGATTGGAGAAATCCTATTTTAAAAAATTGGCATTTCTTCATATCCGAAGTGACTGGTTTTCTCAGGCTAGTGTGAGAACCAACTGAAAGAGACCGTGATGGGCTCTGTCCAGGTCCTAGAGAAGCAGTTTTGCTCCCTTTCCCTCATTTTGGGCCCACATTCAACCCTGTCCTTTGGTGGTTCTCCTAATGCTTCACAGGACCCAGGGGTGACTGCTGTATTCTGCATTTAAGGGTTTGCATGTCATTCATTCTTGCTCTGTTTTCCAGTTGTTCGAAGTTGGAAGACTTGCCTGCGGAGCAGTGGAACCACGCCACGGTCCGCAATGCCTTAAAGGAACTGCTCAAAGAGATGAACCAGAGCACATTAGCCAAAGAATGCCCTCTCTCCCAGGTCAGTGTCTTCAGGAGAAATGAAGAAGCCAAGGGTGGGCTGTCTGGCAGGAGGGGCACACCTGCTCAGACAGCTGTCTTTTATTTTATATTCACACTACATCTTAGGTGGAAAAAAATATGGAGGTTGTGGTGCTTTTTTTTGTAGAGGAGAACTTATCACTTATTGAGAGCTCATATAGTGGGAGTCACATTAAAACATTTTACACTCACAGTCTTTAACCTCTCATGTATGTCGTAGGTATCAGTGTCTCCATTTTATAGATCAAGAAAACAAGGCTCAGAGAAGCACTTTACCTGCCTAAGCTTACTCAGCTGGTTAAGTGGCAGGTTGCAACCCCAGCTGAGACCTCCCTTGCCAAAGCTCAGGTTTCAAATCACTGTGTTACTTGGTCAATGAAATGGGCCAGCCATGTCAAACCCATCTTAATTTGTTTTTATTTGTTTATTGAGCCTTTTCTAGGTCTAGCAGAGAGAGATGATCTTTGCATCATACACGCTTGTAGAGATTTGGGAGTGAGTTCACTACATGAAAATGCACCACGAGAAAAAGTGATACTCTGTTTTTACTGAACTGATCATAAACTAAAACAAGCCACAAAAATAAGAGATTGAGAGGATCAAAGGGAGGAACAGCAGAAGAAAGGGCTTGCGGTTCCATTTGTGTTCATGGGTGAAGGCCCCACTTTTGCTAATAAGATAATATTTTGGTGGCTATGGGGAGTGGCTTAGAACTGCTGTGAAATGAACTCAGGTTAACATTATTTAAAGCCATGAATGGAAATCCATTTTCTGGTGTGAGTTGCTACACTTGATTTAAGACAGTAGACTACATGTCTGTCAAATTCAAGGGAAGATGACAAGAACCATAGAAACTTGATGTGTCCTGAGCTATGTTCCAGGATAATAGTCTTTGGGGGAAGCAAGAAGCCTAGTGGTTAAGAGCTTGCATTGTGGAATCAGTCAGATCTGGATTCGTGTCCTGGCTTACAAGCTTTTGTGACCTCATCTTTATAAGCCTGTGTCGTTGTGTGTAAAACCAGGAGAGTAATAGTTCTAAGTCATATAATGAGGAGTAATGAGATAAATCCCATAAATTCTTGGCCTGGTACGTCGCATACAGTGATACTCCATAAATAGTACCAGTTGTTATTCCTGAGACGTGATATTATCGGTGTGAACTGAATAATTTTTATATACGTCTTGGAGAGTGTTTTGGAATTGAGATCCTCTGAGACAAAGCCTGCTATTAATATTTTTGCTTCCAGAAAATCAGGCCGGCATGTACCTGAGTGGTAGATTGAAGGGGACACCATCAGTTACATCCCTACTTTTGTGCTTACAGCTTTCACATAGGCCATTTCAATACCTACCTGTAGGTATGTCCATAGGTCCTAAAGCTTGTTGCTAGAATTTTGATTTATTCCAATGTGATTGCTTATGAAGTTCTAAAAATAAATATTTTGAGTTATTCTGATCATATACAGGGACTGGATAAAGAACAATATAGGGAAAAAAATTTCAATCATTTCTCCTAAATTTTACGATTAGTCACAATTAATTTTCTCTTGGATTTACTTGAAAGTCAGATTGGGCTTTGCCTAGAAGTGGACAAGCTCCTAACAATATCACCAATTCAGAATTTTATCCAGGGCTTTTGAGGCCTATGGGAATTTGGTCAGAATTGATCTATTGTGATTATTAGGTTTGGTTATAACTATAAAATGTGGCTAGAGGGACAGCCTGAGCGGAAAGAACCCACATTAGGGGCTGAGCACCCTGAGCTCTCATCTCAGTAATTTTTTTGTTTGTTTTTTTTGGCCATACCGCGTGGATTGTGGGATTGAACCCGGGCCCTGGCAATGAAAGCGCTGAGTCCTAACCACTGTACCACCAGGGAATTCCCGAATCTCAGTTCTTTTATGTTGAATGTGTGATCCTGGACAAGCCCATCCACTCTCAGAGCCTCATTAAACTCGTCTGTAAACTGGGCATGATTGTATCCACATATGTCACATAATTTGCAGGGTTGTCTTGAGATTCAAATGAGAACATCTTTATCCCTGCTGTAAAAATCCTCTTTTCTCCCCCATTTTCTGTTCTCATTGCTTGCCCACCTAGTTGCCCAACCTAAAAAGTTTCTTTGCTGTCACTCTCATATTAGATATACTGGATTCTACCACCGCTGTATCTAAAACCTTCCTCCTTTGTGCCATTGCCTTGTTTAGACTTTTGTCACCTCTCATGTGAAATATTTTCAGTCATCCCGCATCATAATCTTTCTCCTGCCACCTGCTTCTCCAAAGCTAACATTGTGCCATTTCCTCGTCTACAAGCCTCCAGAGACTCCCCCTGCTCAGCCTGTAGGAAGAACAGACTGCATAGCATAGCCCGTGTATACCGTCAAGATGCCACTAACCTGATTTCCCACCAGTCGCCTTCCTCCCTCTACCTACATCCACTCTGTGCTCCAAACCATGCAACTAATTGTTCTGAAACATTAAACATTGCTCAAACTTCACCAAAATATTCCCAAGGGTGGGAGCAACCTAATTAGTACCATTAGCACTTCAAGTCTGACAAAGCAACTTCTTATGTTACTTTTACAATTCATGAAAAGTAATACACAGTTTACTCCATATACCTGTGTTTCTGTTCTTTTTAAAAATGCCATAAAAATCGCTTTCCCTGTTAAATTATTAACCTCCCCTGGGCACATGAGAGTCGTCCTCAAGGGAGATGTACCATGTTAATCTGTGGCTTTGCTGGCCCCTGCACACAATGATGGTGACCTCAGAGTCCTGCAGTGTGACACTACCTTGCTTTTGCTGTGCGATTTCTCTCGGCTAGCAGGCACCACTCTCTTCTGCTTGAGGAAACCTTTCAAATTCCAGCTGGAAACTCACTGCTGGTGAAGAACCCTGACCTTCTGATTAAAGTAGTTGCTTCTTCTGCTTTTAGTAGCCTTTTGGACACACCCCTGTCACAGCACTTATCACAGCCTGTTGTCAGTGTTATCTGCCAGTGCCCAGATAGCAGAAGCCATCTCTTATCTCCGTGTTCTCAGCATTCAGCACAATGTATATCTTCCATGTTGTTGTTACTCTAATGCAGGAGTTCTAAACTTTGGCCCAGTTGAGCTTTGGGGCTGGATATTCTTAGTGGTGGGAGAATGTCCTGTGGTCCTGTGTATTGTGGGATGTTTAGCAGCATCCCTGATCTCTATCCACTAGACGCCAGTAGCATCCCCCCTACCCAAACCCCCCGCCCTGTGACAACCAAAATGTCTCCAGACACTGCCAAGTGTCCTTTGACGGGAGGAAAATCACTCTTGGTTGAGAGCCACTGCTCTCTAATGTATTAATTCAATAAATTCAATATTAAAATGTTTTAGGAAGTTTTATAAAATGTAAAGTTTTATTATTTACAGTGTTCTTGGCAGCTCTAAAATGTTTTGAATGAGAAACAGTGAATACAGTACTTTGGTGGTTGATGCCCAGTACATTTTCAATCAAACAGGGGCTCAGTTCTGTTGCTTAGATATGGAGGAGATTTGATTTAGGCTTCCGGTATGCTGTGTATTATGGAAAATCTCACTGGGGGAGTCCTTCTTAGCCAGCATGGGCATGTAATGTGGGCACCTGAATTAATCCTATGGCTGTTACCCTGAAACGTTCTGGATTATTCACTTAAATTGCATAGCTGGATTGCATTTTGGTGTGGAGATAAGCTCACTCATTTTGTTGGTGGTTGTCATAGAATAGGTGCATACATTTTTGTTCAATCTGTGCAGTGTGAAAAAGAATGAATTTTTGTTCTGAGGCAGTGAAACAGTAATTAAAAAATGTATTTTACCAGCTTTAGTGGGGTCCCAGTTAAGAGTCAGGTACTTTACAATGGACTGGGGGTACAGTGGTGAGGATGAGAGAGAGATGAAGCTTTCAGTGTAGGAAGAAGAGAGTGGGGCACCAAATACTACTTACTTTAAAGCAGAATGGTAGATTATTGGGCTATCTAAAATATTCTCAGTTCATGAGTAAAAGATGCCTGCTTTTAACATAATTCTCCCTTACTACCCCCAAGCCAAACCATATTAGGTATTTCCTCACTGAAGTTGGGCAATTGCATAAAAGAATGATTTAGTGGCTAGTATATATTTTCTTGAACATCCCAGTGGTCTACATTTCAAAAGAGCAGCCTTAAAGGCAGAAGGAAAGAGTGGAAAAGTCCATAAGAGGGCAACAATTGTAGGCTGAGGCATATATATTTGAAGGGAGGGAAGTCATGATTTAGCTGTATTCTCTCTGGCCAGGTGCTTGGAAAGTATAGGTTGTGTTTGTGTGTCTGTGTATTTATTTTTGATTTCACCTTTCAAAATGTGTTTAAGTGCTGACAGCCTCTTCCTTTTCCTCTGATGTCCCCCTGAGTCACCACTTCCAGCCTCTTCCATCAGCCCGTAGTCTGTCCCAAGCATCCTAATTTCCTATACTTTAGACCCAGGTCTCCCTTATTAAAATGGTCTCTAACTGTTCCAATTTGAAAACATTATGGACACACCTTTCTGTGGCTCACTAATTTTTTTACTGAAGGAAGAGTTAAAAGACAAAACCCCAGGTCCTCAGGGTTTCAATCCATTAAACTAAGAAGAGCTAACAGTGCCTGCCTTGATCACCTCATAGGTTATTAGGATGATCCAATGGAATGACAATTTGCAAATGTAGGCGCACCTTCCAGTGTCCCCCTGCCTCCCCTCCTAACTTTATCTCTGCGACACTAGACATGCTTTAAAAATTTTTTTGTGTGGTAAAAATACATAACATGAAATTTATCATTTTAACAAGTTTTAAGTTTACAGTTTTTAAGTTTACAATTCAGTGGTATTAATTACATTTACATGTTGTACGACCATCACCCCCCCGCCCCCCCGATCTATTTCCAAAATTTTTCATCGCCCCAGACAAAAGGTCTGTAACCATTAAGCAATAATTACCCATTCTTCTC